ATAAAAGATTATAAAAACACAATAATAAGCTATGTAACAGTTCAATATAATTTTCAATAACTTTTTTTTTTTGGTAAAGAACTAAAGAAATTTATTTCATCGTAATTTTAAGTAATTACAAAATTATGAATAAGGTGCAAGAACACTACATTAATCACGAGCAAAATGGATTGGTGAATTTGTCACAGTCCACAGAATTTTGGCCATGAAATCTCCTAGATATATTTTACCGTTCATGAAAAAAATGGTCCTCAAATAGAAAATTGTATTCTGAGAGATACTCTGCTTGAATGGTGTGAAAGAATATACCCTAAAAACTTACCTTACTAGGTTGAAATCTGTTTGATTGGTTATTAGTAACCCATATTATTATTTTCAAAAATACCAAACAAATCTTAACCCTTAATTGCTAGACAACCTTACCTACACGTCCTCTATATAAACCACCCGACAGTACCATAGCTTTTGTGTTTCAAGAACTTCCTTGAGTACCAAGTAACATACAGTTTACGGATAATCCATTTTTGACCGAGAAGCAGATCCGAGACAGAACACAGCACAATCTTTCAAGTTTTCTGCAGAAACCTAGCAACTGTTCCATTTCTGATCATGGCTGAAACAACCGATACTGGTTTCATGGTTAGTGACGTTTAGCAAACCCTAGTTATCTCCCTCTTTTTTATTTTCCATGTGATTTCATTTCTTTATTAACTTTGCCTAGATGGGTTGCTTATATTTTATGATTTCGCAGAGTTGTGAGTTGAAACTGGATACGGGTGCCCCCGGATGGCATAAGACCATGACCAAAGTTTTGAGCAAAATCAAGGGTAAGATATATCATATAGTTCTTATGATTTATTATTATTATCTCCACAAACCGCAAAAATTGCCCTAAAGACATCCGAAATTTAATTTCAATGGAAATTTGGATGGAATCATCATTTCATAAATTAAAATTGGATGAGAAAAAAACCTTGGCCCCCAATTGACGTTTGGAGAAAATTTCAAGGAAAAAAAGACAGTTTACCCCTTAAATGAATTGCATCTCTTGCATTGCTTGAATTACGTATATAAAAATGAGTCTTTTTGTTTTTGAAGATCTGAGTTTATGCTTTTTTACTGGAAAACGATAGATTATATCTTAATCTCATTGTTCTTGAATCTCTATTGTTTAATTTAATTAAATTTTGATTTGATTATAATTAAGGAGTGTCTTACACCATCGATACACAAGCCGGAATTGCTTATGTTTCGGGAACAATTGAAGCGGACATGCTTCTCAAGTTATTAGCAAAATCGGGGAAGCATGCAGAGCTGCTCAGAGTTGATTCAGGATACAAGCATCAGTTCTACGAAGCCAAACCTGTTGCTAATTACAGAACTGGACAAGGCTATGGGAACTATTACAATAACAATCATCATTACGGATATTATGGTCACAATGGAAGCTATGGAACAACAATTCCTTATCACCATCATTCTCAGTACTACCCTAGTTACCATGAGACACGGGCAACCCCGCCGGCGCTGAGGTTTCCGCAGCCGCCTCCTCCAATGCAGGTCCATCCATTTTATGATCCGGACACCCAGTGCACTATTATGTGATCAGCTAATAATGAAATTAAAATGCCATGCTACTTAGGTTTGGTGTTTTAATTTCAAAGCTATATTAATATATATATATATATATATATATATTATATGATGCCCAATTCATAAAATAAATGGGCTAAAACATTTTGTTTTCCCCTATTCTCCAATATTTGGGAGATTAAGGGTTTGATGATTCGGTTTGCCATTCTCCAATTATTAAAGGAGAATGTTGAATTTGAATGGAATTTTACATATATATATGTATAATTATATGTATCAGAAGTCAGGGTTTGAGTGGACTTGTCAATTGTATTTGAAGAGTTTAGACTTCAACTGTAATCGACTTTCTGTATTTTAAGCCAAGTAATATTGAATTTTGCTTAATAAGTTTTGGGTAATTGCTATTTGCTCTCGTAATTGCTTCATTTTGATTTTGTTGATCAACCTCATTGGTACAAAGAGAGGTTTGTTAATTTTTGGAATCAAACAATGGTGCTATTGATTCTCTTTTTTATTACACAAGGTGATTTGCTACCTGCCCACTTGGGGCAGGACATGGTGCTATTGATTCTCAATAAACTGTAAGGATGCTGCTAAAGAACTCATACACATGACCCTCAATTTACACTCCAAACCTCGCAAAAACTTGCACATTTATCAATTGAAACTTCTTTAGTATGGTTTGAAGGCCTCCTTTGATGTATATCCAAGACTCGAATTCTACTTGAGTTTCATGTTTAATGAAAGCTATCATATGTTTTTTTTTTTTTTCAAAAAGTTTGCAAAGACTAAATTGAAAACGGAGCTAATCACCATTTTTAATTAGTTTGCAAATTTATACAATACCATAATAACATCTATTTGTGTGACATGGTCATTGCATCGCAAGCTTCATAAATCACTTCTACGTTTCTAACTTCTACATTTCTAACACGTAAAAGATATGTAAAAACTTAAAGTTTATCTTTTCATAAAAGAGCTGTAAAAATACTCTTAAAGTTTATCTTTTCACGATTTTAATTATTTTTACAAATTTCTACAATATCCTCATTTATTTATTTTTGTTCCATTTTTGTGGAGACATAAGTCGAGTCAATAATAAAATTAGATAAGTTGTTAAACAAGTTTTATATGTAAAAGAGAAAAATACGTTAAACATCTCTAGCATTCGCCTGATTACAAAACAAAAACAAGAACAGGAAAAAAAATTAACCACTTGTTAGTGTGGCTGCTGGGATTCGAGCCCAGGTCTCCACGGCCACAACGTGGAATTCTTACCACTAAACTACAGCCACAAGTTGTTGTCATCTGACCACATCTATTTTATATCTTCAAGACCGTAGAATATACTTTATGGATATAGATATACCTTTGAAAAAATAGAGTTTAACGAAACACTTTCCGGTACTGTTTAATTTTAACAAAAAATACATTTTTATTCTAAAAAGTCACTCATGGTACTATTCACTTATAACACTTTTTTATCCTTTTGAGTAAAATTCGAAATTTTCAAATCATTTTAATTAGTTTTCTTTTGAAAATATGAGGCTTGAGTTTTATTTATTTATTTAAATTAAGGTCAAAATCTCCGTTTAGGGTCTAGACCAATTAAAGATTAATCGTTTTAAAAAAAAATGAGAGTTATAATTGGCATTCTAAAAGTTTAATTATGTACTTTTTATAAGAGTATTTTTCTTTTTAAATGCAAATAAATTGTACGTACAATTAATTTTTTGTAGTACTAATATGAATAATTTATATGAGACGGTCCAAATTTGATCGCATTTAAACATGAAAACAAAAATTTCAAAATTATAGGTCCTAATACAATTTAGGGTAGTGATAACTAAACACCCTTGTTAATTTTTGTTTATAAATCTTTTTTAATTTATTTGATTCAATGACAAAAAATATATAAAAGTTTTAAATGATGTGTGAATAACACCATCCTATCTTTTAGCCGCGATGGGTTTCCAGTTTCGACAACAAATATACAAAATCCAAATTTCAGATTCTGATGATTGAAATTGATAAGTTGCCTTTTCAATCACCCCAAAGGTCACTTTTGATGCCCACCGTTGATCTGCATGATCCTAGGATCAGATGTTGACACGTGTGTCTGCTCCAGTGGCTAACTGGCGGTCACATTTCTGGTCAATCTATCTTTCTAGATACGGCAGAATTTTGAGAGAAGATTCAGATCACAAATCAAGGATACAGATGGAAACAATGGAATTGGATCCTCGCCGGATCTAATGGCTGGGGATCCTAAGGATCAACCCACGTGGGCCGTTGATCAAAAATCGTGCGGCCACAATTTTTTTCTTTTTTATATTTTTCACGTAAAACGAGACTGTTTTACTTTTAAATCATTTAATTGTGACCGCACGATTTTTGATCAACGGCCCACGTGGGTTGATCCTTAGGATCCCCAGCCATTAGATCCGGCGAGGATCCAATTCCGGAAACAATTATATCACACTTCGCCTGTGGGACAAATCATGCGTCAGGTGTATCTATTAAAAAAATGTCGTACCCAGTGCACAAGGCTTCTGCTTTACGCAGGGTCTGGGAGAGGTGAATGTCGGCTAGCCTTACCCCCATTTATGGAGAGGCTGCTCCCAAGTCTCGAACCCGAGACCTACCGCTCATGGGCGAAGGCACTTGTCATCGCACCAAGTGCGACCTCTTGTCAGGTGTATCTATTATTTGATTAAAATCAACAAAGTCAGCGAGAGTAACTTGTATAAAATGAATTTGACGTTATATTAGTTTTTTAATTTAATTATTGCACGCTATGATAAAAATTTCATGACTTGTATAAAATGAATTTGACGTGATATTAGTCTCTTAATCCAATCATTGCACGCTATAATAAAAATTTCAAATATAAAATCGTATTATTAAAGTGGAGCACACGTTAAAGGCATTTTATGTAAATTCTTCTTTGTCAATATGGAATATCCAAACACAACTCACAGACAGTGCACATTTTTGCAGGGAGGCCCCTTGTGCAGATTATCAATCCAGTAACTGTATTTGGGCTAACTACATTTTACGCTTTTAAAGTTTAAAGTGATTTTACGTTTTTTTTGTTAATGAATGAAATATCGTATTTAAAAAAAAAAAAAGAGATTTAGACCATTCTTGTTTCTTTTTTTTCTTTACGATCAAAAGATCGCAAGTTCGAGTCGTGAAAACAGTTTTTTTGCAAAGCAAAGATACAACAGTGTACGATAGACCTTTTTCTGGACTCTCGCAAAGCAGAAAGCCTTTTTCACTTAGTATCGCCCTTTTTGTCAAAAAGACTTCGTCTATTTTTTATAATTAATTATACATGTGATATGCATGGGCATATATAATTATATGTAAGAGCAGTGCCACTGTTGCCATGTATCCTGTATGTACAAAATCAAACAAGTGTCTATCTATACGTGTTTCTTTAATTATACAGAAAATATGGATTGCGTGATACCAGCAGTTCTTAGCTTCTAGGCAATCTAATATCCTAGTCAATACGTGTAGCTGGATCACTTCAGACTCAGAGTTTGAGAGCTCTCTGTTTCTCTCGCTCTGCAGCTTCCATGAGCCCGATGGAGGAACACTCGAACCAATACGCCGAAGCTGCAGTTCCGCAAACCATGCAAGAAACTGGTGCAGAAGAAAGAGATCCGGAGAGCATTGCTCTCCACCAACCACTCCTCCTCAAGAGAAACCGGACACTTTCTTCCACTCCACTGGCTATGGTTGGAGCCAAAGTCTCCCATATCGAGAGCTTGGACTACGAGTAACGACTTGAACAACCCGTTTCTAGTTTTCCATTATCGAAAAGAAGAACCTGAATCCTTATTATGTTGATCTTCTTCACATTGAATTGAAGTTGGTTTGATGCAGGATCAATGAGAACGATCTGTTTATGCATGACTGGAGAAGCAGAACCAAAGTCCAAGTCTTGCAGTATGTATTTTTGAAATGGATCCTTGCCTTCCTTGTTGGACTCCTAACTGGTATAATTGCCACCCTCATTAACCTCGCTACTGAGAATATTGCCGGCTACAAGCTTCTTGCCACGGTTAGTTTCATTGAGAAAGAAAGGTTTGTTGCAATCCAGATATCGTATTATAGTCTGTAGAAATGCCTATGATCGCATAAACAATATGGGAATCGTGTGGTGTAACCGTGTAGGTACCTGATGGGGTTCATCTTTATAGCCGGGGTCAATCTTCTACTGACCGCTAGTGCTTCTGTTCTCTGTGTGTGTTTTGCTCCGACTGCAGCTGGACCCGGTATACCTGAAATCAAAGCATATCTCAACGGAGTTGACACACCGAATATGTTTGGTGCCACAATAATGATTGTCAAGGTCGATTTTCATTTTTCAATTGAACATTGGTTTCATATAATTTCATAATTTATTAAGCTAAGTGGCACAAAAACTTTCATCTTGTAGATATTCGGAAGCATTGGGGCCGTCTCTGCAGGCCTAGATCTTGGAAAAGAAGGACCTCTTGTGCACATTGGAAGCTGCATTGCTTCCTTATTAGGTCAAGGGGGACCTGACAATTACCGTATTAAATGGGGTTGGCTCCGCTACTTCAACAATGACTGTGACCAGCGAGATATCATTACCTGTGGTGCTGCCTCTGGGGTATGTGCAGCTTTCCGAGCTCCTGTAGGTGGTGTACTGTTTGCCCTTGAAGAGGTGGCAACTTGGTGGAGGAGTGCCCTTCTCTGGAGAACTTTCTTCAGCACAGCCATTGTGGTTGTGGTGCTTAGAGCTTTTATCCAAATATGCAATTCTGGGGAATGTGGGCTTTTCGGGAAAGGAGGGCTTATCATGTTCGACGTAAGCACTGTTACTGTAACATACCATGCGTGGGATATCATCCCCGTAGCTGTAATTGGCATTATTGGTGGAGTTTGGGGAAGCATGTACAACTATCTTCTCGACAAGATCCTCAGACTATACAGTCTCATAAATCAGTAAGCAACCCTAAACCAAATATGAAAACTGACACACCACGATGTCAATTCGATACTAATTACTTCTTGGTTTACTCTTCTGGCAGGAAGGGAAAAGTTCACAAGCTGCTCCTCAGTCTCACTGTATCACTCTTTACTTCTGCATGCCTATATGGTCTCCCTTTCCTTGTCGAATGTACACCCTGTAACTCCTCTCTCTCGGAGTCCGTCTGTCCCACCAATGAAGGATCTGGAAACTACAAAAAGTTCAACTGCCCAGATGGCCACTACAATGACCTAGCTACTCTTCTCCTTGCCACCAATGATGATGCAGTTCGAAACATCTTTTCGACAAACACTTCCGCTGAGTATCGTCCTTTATCCCTCCTAATCTTCTTCGTACTATATTGCATCTTAGGATTGTTTACCCTTGGAATTGCTGTGCCGTCTGGACTTTTCCTTCCCATCATCCTTATGGGCTCAGCTTATGGCCGTCTGATTGGAATTGCCATGCAATCATATACGAGCATTGACCAGGGGCTTTTCGCTGTTCTTGGCGCAGCTTCCCTAATGGCAGGGTCAATGAGGATGACCATTTCACTATGTGTCATATTTCTTGAGCTCACCAACAACCTCCTCTTGCTGCCCATAACAATGATTGTCCTCCTGATTTCCAAACAGTTGGAGACAGTTTCAACCCGAGCATCTATGAGATTATACTGCACTTAAAAGGTTTGCCTTTCTTGGAGGCACATCCAGAACCATGGATGAGAAATCTGACAGTAGGTGAGCTCGCTGTTGCCAAGCCGCCAGTAGTCACCCTCCATGGAATTGAAAAGGTGGATCGTATTGTGGAGGTCCTGCGAAACACCACACACAATGGTTTCCCTGTTGTAGAAGAAGTGGTGCCACCAATGGGATTGGCTGTTGGGGCAACAGATGTACATGGACTAATTCTTCGAGCTCACCTTGTTCAGGTGCTGAAAAAGAAATGGTTCCTAAGAGAGAAAAGAAGAACAGAGGAGTGGGAAGTAAGAGAGAAATTTACCTCAGTTGAGTTGGCCGAGAAGGAAGCAAAGATCGAGGAGGTGGCTGTGACAAGGGACGAAATGGAGATGTATGTAGATCTGCATCCACTCACCAATAGAACACCTTACACAGTTATGGAAGGCATGTCAGTGGCAAAAGCTATGGTTCTTTTCAGGCAAGTGGGACTTCGCCATTTGCTCATTGTGCCAAAGTATGAAGCATCCGGGGTGAGTTTAGCAATCATTCTCGTTTTACTAAACACAATGCACTTGTTAATGAGAGTAAAAACTTACTTACCCATGAGCATATTCATTCTGTCCACAGAGCACAGTTGGTAAAGATGGCAATACCACTAACCTCGATGTGTGTCTGTTGTAGGTGCCTCCACTTGTTGGGATCTTAACCAGGCAGGATTTAATAGCCTACAACATTTTGAATGCCTTTCCACATCTCACAAAATCTGCAGGCAGAGAGAAGGGGAACTGAAAACATCTTCTCCTCAGCCAACGAAACTAGCAGCTTTCCTGATGGAAGAAAATGCATTCTTCATCTTTTGAAATTTTCTAAATTATTTATTCTTTTCATCCAATTCACAAGGAGACAGGTAGATATACAACAAAGTGCAATTTCATTCATTTGTAAGTATTCATTTTACACATGTTTCAGCCGATGGTGAACAAAATCCCTTTCTACAAAAGGGAAAGCAAGATAGAAGATTTGGTTTTGTTAAATTCTCTCTACCAGATACTCCCACTCGTCTTCCTGTAATAAGTTAATAACCCAGAAAATCTTCAAACGGTCATCACAGAAACTCACTGCAAAATCCTCTTTCAGAATTGTTTACAAGCGTTTCTTCTGCTTTATTCCTGTTCTCTTTTTCTTTGGGCTTCCTTGGCCCCTCTTGAACACAGCTAAAACCTCGATGCTGCAATCATGGCAAAAGAACATTTATCATGCACAAATGGGTAAAAAAGAATCTGGAAATGAGAATATGTATCAAATTAAAAGTATAATATATGTTACATTCAATTTAGTCATTCAAACAGCTTGGATTTTCTGAGAAGTCTACCTTGATAAGAACCAGAAAGAAAATAGTGTTTGAAGGAAATGTTGGCAATCTTGATAATATATCACAAAAATCAGTTATCCGGAATTTCGATCCAATTGAAATGTAACGAGATGCATCATATATTGGAAAGGAGAAAGGAGCCAAAAGAGAAGAAACTGATAGATACCTCTGGGTTCCAGGGAAAAAATTATAGCCATGGGCTTTTTCCAAGTGCCATGCCTTGCTAGACAACAAATCCTTGCAATCCTGTTGAAACATTAATCCCTAATTAGGTAGAGGAAGAAAAGGTAACAATAAAGTAGATGAAGACGGGATGGAATAATCAGAGCAGAGAATAATCTAATTTCGTGAAATATCATAGCAACACTTTATACCTCTTTGAAGCTTTCCCATCCACAACTTATATAAATAAGGGTTTGAGGCCATGATTTACTATCTTCTGAAGTAATTTCGCTTCTGATCTGAACTGAAGCTTCTTTTGCACGCAGCATCCATGGTCTCTTCTCATCCTTACCCCTTGAGCTTGAACTGAGTTGACATATAAACGAGCTGAATTAATTATCCACAGGGACCACCAGTGAGGTCCTTGACTTCAATATTTTGAGTACAGAAATGGCCTAACCTCTCCGAGGACGACTTAGCTTTACGCTTTGCTGAAGCTATACTCCGCAATGCATCAACAAGAGATGCATCCAGTCCCTTTCTAGGAGGATCGACAACAAGTACATCTGATCCCATGATCCAAGAAAGAGGTTCCTAGGTTATTTGTGAGAAATTTATAAAGTTAGTTCTCAACTATTCCACCACAATCACAATGGAATAACAACGGTTTTAGAAATTGCTTTATACACCTTATAATATAGATAATAAAAAAAACTGAGATCTCCACATGCATGAGACTCTGGGGTTAACACTTCAGAAATATATGATCATAAACTTTCCAAAGGTTACTAACTTTAGAAGTGTCTGCAAGATGCCAGCTGATGCTGCTCTCTACCGAGTTTGGCAGGCGGTCAACTGTCTTCTCAAAGGATACTTTTGATTCTTTATTAATCTCAATGCATCGAACAGACCTAGACAACAATTATGACTCCATTTTAGAACATATCTAAACATAAAGATTGAAATTTTGAGTTTTTATACCAGTGCTTTTACAATTATCCCAATTCTTGCCTGCATTTTCTTGTCACAGCTAATGATAATCCAATTACACCAGCTCCTGCATACAAATCAGCAACAGATGCTCCCTGAGGGACATATTTTTGTAGCTTCCGAAGCAAGGTATCAAAAGCCTGGGATGGAGTAGCATTAGGCCACGAGATATTGAGTGGAAACTTTTTCAAGAAACGGAAGACTAAAAATGTAGGGATTTCCATAGTCAAGTTTCAGAAAACAGGTTCAATAGGTGGTCCGATAAAAAACCCAAAGGTTCATTCTGTTTACATCCTTCAAATTATTATGCCCTTGGGATTTAACTATACACTTACTGTAATATCTCTGCATTCTAAGAAGGGTTTTCTTTTTCTTTTTTCTTGTTTTAAGAATATTTTAAGTGGTTGACAAGGCTTTAATTTCTACGTTCATAAATTGAATGGAAGTTGATGTTGCTGGAAATGAAATTGTGCATTTGAATCAAATTTGAATAGTTGGGTAATAAGTTAATAACTAATATGCTTAAAATACCCTTGTGTTTGCTTGGCCAAAACTGGACGGAGCCAAGGAAATATCAATTCCTCCAACATGTTCCCAAAAGTCTCTTTCCCCTAAAAGATGTCTCCATCTATTTCCAAAAATTATCTGCATCACCGAGTAAACATACGTAAATTCAAAATAACTTAAAAAAACCTCCTAAAATTAACCCTTCGGACTCACATTGTTAGATGATGTCTGAAAGTTAGCCCATACAGAGTGAATCAGATTGACCTTGTTCCTTGGCCCACCATTTCTCCACATAAACTGGAAACAAGTATACAGATCATAGATTCTTTAAAAGAAAATATTTACAGCAATGAAATGAAGTAGCTAGCTCACATTGGCCAAGGCTTGCAGTTTCTCCGAACTCGGCGAATTTTCGTTTCTTGAATTCCATACTAAAGCTACCTGCACTTTACCTAGAAAGAGATGTAATTTATATGTTAATCAGATTTCAGATCAATATCAGTGTATCACATAAAAGCTCTTTCTAGAATAACTCTGATGAACTCAGCTGCTAACCATTCTTATATCTTTCGGAAGCGGGAAGGGAAGTATTGTGTGTTGTCACAGCCATCTGCACACAGCACCACTATTAATTGAATTCCAAAACACTACAACTTACTAACATGTTTTCTATGCGCATTTTCATTATTTTGAATCACATCAGTCACCTGCACATATCGTAAATCACCTGTCCCCTCATCTTCATCATATGGCTCAACGCGTAGTTCAGTAATACCTGAATGTTATACAAAGAAGTAATAAATGATTCAAGACTCAAAAACTGGAAATGAAAGCAGGTAACATTGAGTTTTAATAACCGAAAAGGGACCTTGTTTAAGCAGCTCCACAGCAGCATTTATACTTGGATGATGAGCTGCAAAAACAGAAAAGAAAACATAAATTAAACTAAAAATATAGAATTTAACACTAATCCAAGGATTAAATATCAAATATAAAGTCATTAGGATTGGGACCTTTGCATTGAGGAATATCTACTACATTATGAGTTCCCTCCTGATAAAGCCCAATCAGGGGGTTTTCCGGTGAGCCACGAACGGCTAACTTTGCGCGACACCGCCATCCCCACTAACACCAAACCCAGATAGTATCAAGATCAAAACCATAACCAATACCAGAATGATATTTCATTTTATTTAAATTTTAAGAAAAGGCCTAAACTTTACGAAATTAAGGGGAAAAAGAAGTTAAGTAAAGCACCAATTTGCAACTGTCAAAAGTGAAATCTGAGACTCCAACTGTCTTGAAGAACTCCGTTGCCTCATCGACGATGACCGGACGGTGGAGATTGAACTCGTGCGTACACCCGGAGCACCTGAATTATACACCGAACAGAAAACAAAATTTAAATCAAGACGAACAATAATTATGAGAAAATAAACTAATACGGATTTGAGCTGAGAGTTACGATTCGAAGTGCGGGCAGTGGAGGGCGCAGGTTAGCGGCGGCGGAGGAGGGGTTGAGCTAGGGCTCAGTGCGAGAGAAGGTAGTGCTGCTGGTACTTGTGGTGGTGCTGAAGCAGACGGCGGGGGACGCACTGCGGTTGGGGACACGTGGCAGGTGATGAGTGGAGGCGGAGGAGGACGGACGGAGAGGAAGCAGAGAGGCATGTTGTCCGGCGGCCGTTGCTCTCTGGCGGGAATGGATAATAGACAAAACAGATGTTGATGGACTTTGGTGGAAATATCTCAACGGTTAAAAACGAGAAAGCTGCTAATTACAAAATTTCCCCAGAGTTATAGCAGTTGTTCAATTTCGGTCGTCTAACTTTTTTTGTCCCAAATTAGTCCTTAACGTGTTAATGAAGATGGTAGTGACATTGACTCAACCAATTTGGGTTTGGTTAATTTTGTTCGTTTTCTAGCATAAATGCCTATTCTTGGACAAAAGTGGTCATATTCTAATATATTAAGGGCGGTTTTAACAAGTAGATGAGTTTTGGAAATTCCTTTTAAAAAATGATCATATGTTATTCAGTCAACTTTTGTAACGAAAATCACTTCATTTGCATCAATCTTCTCTTGCCAGAGATGAAATCTGGTCGGAAGGATCCACGAGGCCTTGTTTGAGATCGAGAAGGGCTTTCCTCTCAAAATACATGCATCCCACGTCATGGGTCAGTGCTGCAGAGACGAAAACACTTAAGAGGTGACCGTCGTGGAAAAATTAAGAGGTGAAAGATTTGGACATGGAGTCGTCAACCATAATGTTGTTGTTATGAAAAGTTCCCAAGTCTCTGATAAGAAAACAAAAACAAAGGAATTGCAAGTCAATGATGCAGACCTCACTGCTGAAAACCGAGGCCAATAACATCTACATTTTCCTCGTTTTATGACAGCCAGTCCTGTGTCTGCGGAGATATATCCCCTAAGTGCTGTGAAGATGAAAATTTATCCCCGGTTGTTTTCGGCTTATCGTCGCCGAAAATTCACCAAACTTTCCGGTCTTGGTATGTCTGAACATTTTCTCGAAAGCAAAATTTACAATTATTGTCTTTTCAGAAGCGAACATAATTAGAATTAAAACTTTCACTAATTTTCTGGCTGACAAGAGTTAAATGGTGGTGTGACTAGAAAAACAACCCTCAACAAATGTCTCGTTTGATCAAGAAGTTGCGGACTTTGTTTTCGATGAAGGACTTGGGTCCTCTCAGTTACCTGTTGGGTGTGGATTCGGAAGTTCAGTACTTTGGCAATCAATGCATTTGAACCAGGCCAAATATGCATTGGATTTGCTCAGACGTACAAAATTCGTGGATGCCAAACAAATTTCTACACCTGTTCCTTCTGGACAAAAGCTCATTGTGCATGATGGTGAACCACATGATAATCCCGAAAGTTTGTTGCTCGATCCGTCGAGAGTTTCTATCCACTCCAAGTTTCCGATCTTTTCCGGGATATTTCCTGTCAACTGATTCATGGACAGGTTCAAAGTCCCCAGCCTTGTAAGGCTTGTTAGGCCTAATGGCATCTCTCCTGACAAGTTATTGTCCGAAAGATCGACACTATTGAAGAGGTAGAGGATGGAATCATATTCGAGCACTCTTCCTTTCGCCACTACCTTCAATCTTCCCTGGTAAAGATAATCTTCTGTAACTTTATCTGTGACTTCGGGTCCGAAGCCAGTTAAGTTACCTATGCAGCAGGGAACATTTCCGGAAATATAGTTGTGTGAGAGGTCCAATATGTGGAGACTTGAAGGGCCACATAACTGCGAAGGGATGCTTCCACTAAACGAGTTGAGCCTCAAACGGAAAATCAACAAAGAGGGCATGCTTTCTCCTATGGAAGCCGGAATAGATCCAGAGAAATGGTTCTCACCAAGATCAAGACTCCTCATGTAAGTGAAGTTTTTCATGGAAGGAAGCTCGCCCGAAAGGTTGTTGCTAGAGAGTATCAAGAATCTGAGTGAAGTAAGAGAAGTTAAGGATCTTGGGATTGAACCTGAAAGACTGTTTTTCGACACATCTACGATGTACAGTGATGGCATATTGTCCCAAAAGTCAGGAACCTCACCAGACAACTGGTTATTTGAGATAACCATGGTTGTTAATTGGCTTAGATTACCCAAGGATAGGGGAATGTTTCCATTCAAAGTGTTCCGGGAAATGTCTAGATCTAACAGAGAGGGCATTACTTCACTAATGTCAAAAGGAATTGGCCCAGAAAACAGATTATCTCTAAGATACAACATGGTAATGTTTGATGACAGTGGGAGGGGGCCCTCGAAGCGGTTTGAACTCAAATCAACATTGCCGGTTCAATAAATCGTAATGAGTTAGGGACCCTGCCGCTTAGCTGATTATAAGCGACATCTAGTTGATCTAATTGGAAATCCAACTGCCAAAACCACTCCGGTATGGTATCTGAAATCCTAGCATTGTTGAGTACCAGAGTGACCAGCTCAGTCTGATTTCTGAGCCATGTAGGAAATTTAGGACCTGGTTGGCATGACCTAATGTTCAAGTATCTCAGTCTAAAGGGAGCTATCCAATCAGAACTAATGTCGAAAACTAAGGAAATGTTTGGGGAAGTGTTATATATTTCAACCTCTCTTAGGCTTCCAAGTTTCATGAAATGAGCTTCTGTAATCGAACCTTCCCATGTGTTTTCCGAGATATCTAGTGTAGTCAGCGACGACGGCTGCCCAAGACTTTCGGAGATGATCCCACTCATTTGATTGTGTGAAATGTACAACTCCTCCAAAGAGTTCAAGTCTCCGATAGATTTTGGGACCGAACCCTGAAATGAGTTATGCCACAATTTGAGGATTCTTAAGCTTTTAAGATTTCCCAAAGAATCAGGCTGTTATACTTATATCCCAAGTCCTGCCTCTCTAAGCGGCTGTTTGTGCATGCAGACAAACTATCAACGAAATCAGTAATCTCGCCAGTAAATTTGTTGATATGAAGATTTACCGTCTGCAAACTGCATAGCGTTCCCAAGCATCTTGGAAACTGTCCTTCAATGTTTGAGTTTTCCGACAAATCAAGCATCCGAAGAGATGTCAAACTGCCAAATGTTTCTGGAAGTGCTCTGTGGAGATTGGTCGAGTGCATTTCCAGGGTGACTAGTTTAGTCAAACTAAACAGCCAGGGAGGTAACGTGGAGTTGAAATCATTGTATGAGAGATCGAGAACCGAAAGGGATGCAAAATTCATGGAAGGAAGAGTGAGAGGAAGGACGGAAAGTCCACAGGGCAAATGCAATTCAACGAGTGAAGGGAGCATATTGACAGTGGGAAGCCAATATGATTTAGCCTTGCTTAGGTCTACTCCTCCGAGGTTTAGGTACTTTAACGAAGAAAGAAGTGCAAGCTAACAGATTTCATTCGCAACCGGTTCAAAAGTATAATAGCTGAGGTCTAGAGAAAGCAATCTCGAAAGGTTTCCGAGACTGTGGGGAATGACTCCACCGAAAGATGCACTAGAGAGATTGAGGTATTCCAATTTCTCTAGTGATCCAATGAAGCTTGGAATTTGAACACCTTCGAAGTTATTCATGCTCAAATCCAAGTGAATCAAATCATTCAAAACAAGCAAAGAAGGGTTGATCTCACCGCCAAATGCGTGCACTGTTCCATCCTCACCATCTGAAAATTCATTGCGGAGATTGAGCTTAGTCACACGTCCAGTTACGTTGTTGCAGCCTATGCCGCTCCATTGACAGCAATCTTCTCCCACCCAAGACAAAAGCCGGTCTGAAGGATCTGTGAGACCCGCTTTGAGCTCGAGAAGGGCTTTCCTCTCAGTTTCCTTGCATCCCACGTTAAGATCAGCACTGCAGAAACCAAGTTTAGTGGTTTCAAAGAACAGAAATCCTGAATGTTGGACGGAAGCACTTCTGTGAACCATACTTCTTATGTGAGCAAGCAATGAGATACTATTTGCAGGTCTCAAGATATCTGCAATATTTAAAGTGCGAAAAAGTATAAACATTGTCATTTTTCTAAGAAGAACTTTCTAAGTCTTCAAGGAAAATGGGGAGGCGCATGGTGTATGGCTGGCCTTTCACAGTCGCTAAACTTCCAAGTCAGTGGTCTTGATTCTTAGTGTCGCGTGACTTCCATTATGTGGAGAATGAGTCATACATTGATGGGAGGAGAGATCTTGCATGAGTTTATACGGGGTTAGGCTACTTCCCATATTGCTAATTGGTTTTATGGTAGAACTCTAATTTTTTTTATGATATCAGAGAGGTTATCCCACGTGTAAAGCCAAATGGCCACATGTGCTTTTACATCACCGAAGTTGTGTTGTCCACGTCCACGTGTTGGGCTCAAAACTTCGCTACACATGAGAGGGCGTGTTGAGAATGAATTCGAAACCCAACTTTCTTCACATTGCATGAGTATGCTATTATTATCTCATTCTGTGACAAATATCTAAAAGCACGTGTAAATTTTTGTCTACGTGACTTTGTGTTATCGGCACAAAACAGAATGCAAAACCACTATTTGAAGATCATCGCATACGTTGGAAATCCATTGAGAACAGGTCAAATGGGGTCAATCTTGACACAGCCCTTCCAAGTCAATGATTACGGCACAGTATGAATCCGTTGGAAGTCTTGTATTCTGTGGAATTCCAAGTTTCGTGGGATCAATGACAATGACTTTGTAAGTTGAAATTCGCAATTATAGTCAATAGGATACTAAGGAGAGATTACTGTACATAACCGGGAACAAGACAAATTCTTTTGATAAGGGCAACCTGCAACCCTATAAGAATAATGTCAGAATCTGATGGTACTCGAAGCCAATCAAGCACTCATACGGAAAGGGTTAAAAAAAACGTATTAACGTGTGATTAATTTGAGATACTATTACAATTGCATTCATGGTCCTTAAAAAAAATACTCAAGCCACACAAAATCCAAATTATCCAATTAATAAGGAATAATATTTGGTTACTCAAAGGATGAGCAGAAGTTCCTACTCAAATTGTTCGTTCTCGATTTATAGAACTTGTGTTTATAATTAGAACCGTTCATATTACACATTACTCTATAAAGATCGCTTCTACGAAAAGTCAATTAAAACTAATGTTGTTTAGTCGTCAAAACGACCTTATTTTTAATTCATTTTTTGCAGAGATGATCATTACAAAGTGATTTATAATATGAACGGTTCTGATTATAAACCCAAAAGCTTTGTAATTCAAACACGAAGAGTTTTGAATAGAAATCTCTCCTCGTCCTTGAGTAGGCACTCAAGCATTGTTCATTTATAGGTCCCTTCGTTCAAAGAAACTAGTAGACGCGATCAAATGCAACAAAAAAACTCCTATATTTCTTAAAACACTTCCAAATTTTACAATTGCATGAGGACCAAGAAACTAACATCACACAGTAATTTTTATAAATTCCACCATCAGTTAGCTCATGGGTTGAAAGTTGAAACAATTTAAGAAAAAGCAGCTGAACCATTTATAGAGTTTGGACATAAACGCCAATGCACACTAGAAGGTTTCCAAGGCCGTAGCCCTACATTATACAGGATCCCAATCTACAATTATGCACTTATCTTTGATCAATCATCGGTGCCAAAGTACCGATCACCAAATTCACCCATTCCTGGTATGACACGGAACTCTTCATTCAGCGCAACATCGATCTCTGAAGTGACAATCTTCAAAGACGGGAACCGTTGGGAAACACAATGGATTCCTTCAGGGGCCTAAGGCAGATGAAAATAGTAGGGCATTTAAGTCAATGTGTTGTTATTGGCATACAAAATACGCGTAATCAACCAGCATCAAGAAAAAACTCACAGAGATAAGGTTTAGGAAAATAATATGCGCTTCAGGAACTCCTTTCTGTATGAGCAGTTCAATCGCCTGGTTAGCAGAGTTACCTACAAGCCGTTAAGGTTGATCGTCACTTCTTCGCCATACCACATAACAAAGACTCCTATGCCCAAAAAATAAAAAATAAAACAAAAACTGGACTGCAGTTTTAAGGTAGCAAAATCTAACGTGCCACACCAACTGAATTTTCAGACTGTACACTATGCCTCACGACATGGTCTTTCAACGGGAATGGCATAACACATAAATAAATGATATCTTCCTACCACTGATGTGTATAACAATGAGAAGAAGAAAAAACTAGCGACGAAAATTTTCCTTCAACACCATCAACTAACAAGCTTATGAGAGATTAAAGGGATTACCTGTAGCAAGGACTGGATCTAGAAGCAGGACATGGCGTTCTGAAATATCCTTTGGAAGTTTCTCGTAGATAAGCTGTTTAAGTTGGAATAGCTCGGTTATACACAACTTTTATAAGGTTTGAGAGGGATGAGATAGCCATTGGTCAATTTTCTCCTTTAAAACCACGGTACCTGCTTTCCATTGTCTCCAACGCGGTGAATCAGAATCTTTCCAATCTTTATTCCTTTGCAGCATGCACGTAGTGCATTTTCCATGCTCTCACCACTGACATAATAAACAAGGAAAGGTTGTTGGCATGGACAAAGGACTGCCCGACAAATAAAACTTCTAAAATTCAATACCTGACTTAACGCTCACCTTCGAACGATTGAAACCCCACACAGTTTCTTGCAGAAATCCACCCCAGTATATACTGATCCTGGTATATAAGAAAAGAAAATTTTCAAAGACTTGCAAAATATTCCTCATTTTCAGGCTATAGTTCAGATGATGCAAATTAAATACGAATCGATGTTTGTGCGAGATTGATCCATTTACTCAAAATAGCATATATCAAAATACACCCCACCCCCTCCATCTAAAGGAAAATTCATAACTATCCCCAAGCCGAACAGAACAGGTCGCAATCAAGTTATGAAATGAGTATGGGTGAGGTAAGAAGAAATTGTAGACATGTAATCAGCACACCTGTTGGAGTTATTATTTGCTTCTCTGTGAATGGCAAATGGCCAAGGCCGTGCTCCACAACCTGGAGGCTACATCAGAGTATCAGAAAATGGAAGCAGAACTCCGGTAGATTTATGAAAATTAAATAGGCAAGGAATATAAATTACCAGACGTATAAGCCGATCTGAATAAAATATAAAATCATGTTTCGATATTTCTCGGTCCCGAATCAGTGTATGCATACCTCTTATCTGAAAAATGAGAACAACTAGATTAAGAGCTCGTTTGGATGTGCTTTTAAAATGGCTAAAAGCGCTTTCAGAGAAAATGTTTTTTGGTTCCAAAAGCACTTAAAGTGCTTTCTGTAAGAAGCACCAGTTAGTGCTTCTTTCAGGAAGCACTTTAAGTGCTTCTTTCAGGAAGCACTTTAAGTGCTTTTCCAAAATTTACTTGCGTTTTTACTAAGGATCGGTTCCAAAAACATTTTCACCAAAAGCACTTTCAGTCATTTTAAAGGCACGTCCAAACAAGCACTAAAGCCTGTAAAGAGATGAAAATGAGCAAATAGTCATCTGATTGCAGACTGTTGGGAAAAGCTTTAAGGTTACAAGTCCATAAGTCCATCACATTGCAAGTTATATGCTTAAATTACTTGGGTCAGTCAAACAAGAAATCTGATTCGTAATGCTTTTCAGAGCTGAAAATTAAAATACTTGAGAAGAACACAAAACGTGCTCAGAAAATGCGGTTTAGAAAGTTTCTCAATTATGAAAACAAGACCCATACGCAACTAAACTAAAAACAAGAGTCAAGACCCATAACTGAATTTGGCATACAATAAATCTTTTGTACTCGAGTTGTGGAATCAACAATCAAAGCCAAATACGCCAAATACCAGATTCCTAATTCCGGCAAAAGACAGATGGTGAACAGTATGTCTATATAACAACAAATCACACGAACACATATGGCATACCTGAAATGTGGACTGAATAATGTACACATTAGGATATATTTTGCAGAGGTCATGCTGACCAAGCTTTGTGCGAATATGTTGCACAATCAAATCAATGGCAACATGATTCTCACCTCCCTGGGGAATGATCACATCAGCATACTTCTTTGATGGGTGAACAAAATCATCAAAAGCAGGTTTGACGAACTTGGCATACTGCACAATACATAATGCCTCAGTGTGATTTCAGGAATGGAAATGATATAACCTCAGCAGAGTTACTAAACAAACTACAAAAAGCCATTCTAGTCTTACCCAACGCTACTAAACAAAATAACGGCTAACCCATCTCCTGTGAAAAGAACAATAAGCCAAGTTCAAATTGGGTCTTACCATTTCAAGAACAGAGTTAATGTCCCTGCCCCTCTCAACCGTGTCTCGTCTTATTCTACGAGCAAGCCTCACATCAGCATCTATTAACATATGTTAAAAAGTAAGCTAAATATTCAGAGAGAGAGAAAGAGCATAACCAAAAGAAAAGGTTAAGGCCTCCTCTTCACACACATACAGAGACTGGCCAAGAAGAGGAAAATTCCATATCAAGACAACGCTCAAATTTCCACATCAAGTCCGCAAGTAACACTCAAACTAACATGTCATGCAAAACAAAGCCATGGAAATCTAAAAGATGTGATGACCACAAAGGACCCTAACTGGACAGTAAATATGATGATACGACAAGAATTGCACAAAAGAGATCAGACCTGTATCGACAAAAATCTTTATGTTCATTAGATTGCGGACATGTTGGTCATGGAACACCAGAATTCCTTCCAAGATTATTACATCAGAAGCATTCACCTGACAAAACAGTAAACCAGATGCTAAAAAGGGAAGAGAAACGACAATTACAAGTCAAAATTGACCTTGAGATGAGCAGTAAAGGTAACATAAAGACAATAATAGAAGTAATATAAGAAGAAGAATAGTAATAATAACAATAAATAGTACAGCGTAATCGGTAAGCTATTACATGCAAAACCAGCTAATTACTCGTAAGGAAGAAAAAGGAGGAAAACACCTAAATAATTTGAGTACCTGCCGGAAACTATCAGATTTTCGTCTATGTGTCTTAAAATCATAAATTGGAACTTGGACAGATTGCCCGTTCTTTAGCTTTTGAATGCAATCCAAGAGTTGTTCGGTGTCAAAAGCGTCTAAAAAACACAACCAATTGGTAATCAGTAAACTATATGAATAATGTTCCTATAGGACATACAAAAGAACCCCAACAAAACATGATTTGTCACTACATAACTGTCAGATATGCACATTATAGCACAGCACACAGCCTAATTCCTTAGCTAAAATCAACAACACGAAACAAAATTCGAACTTTATTGGTAAAATGATTACCAGGATGATCAAAATTATACTCATGCACTCGTTCCGATTCCTCGGGTGTCAAACCCCGATAAAATGAATCCTAGAGAATGTCCAAATGAAACTAATCAAAGAATTATACTAATTATATAGCTTAAGCAACTAACAACGGAAAATCGTACGTGCAGAGAAATAAATAGGCAAGGTAAGCAACGTGAAGGAGCTGCACAAAGCCCTAACCTGATTGACAAGTACGACACGATGATCGTGAAGCTGCTGGATGATCATGTCGCACACTGTCGTCTTACCGGAAGCCGTACCGCCCGAAACACCTAATCAAGCATCGTAACAACAACGAAATTGAAATTGAAATTGACGAAATTGAATTAAACTTGAAATGCAGTTGCAGCTGAGACCGAATCGGGTGCAACGGGCCAACGAAATGCGAATTGAAATGAAAACGAAGAGCGAGGGAGTGAGATTACCGATGACGAATGGCTGTTTGGCGGCGTGGGGGTCGGCTGCGAGGTTGGTAGAAGGGCCGGGAGACGAAGAAGGTGGCGGAGAGGAAAGGATGCCGTCGAACCGGAGCCCCGAGAAGTGGGGGCCAGAAGCTTTCTCCATCACGTAGTCAATCGCCATCGCGTTCTCCGACATGGTTTTCCACACTCCCTCTCTCGCTCTCTGGTTTTGCGTTTCGGAGTGAATGTGGTAAAGAACGACTCGACGCTGCAATTTAAGTGAAAAATTATGTTAAGAGTTTCAGCTTGACAGAGACTGCCGTTTCGTCACCATCAGTCCAGGCGCGCAAGATTCACGCTTTCTTTCTTTTCTCTTTTTTTATTTTTTATTTTTTTTTATTTTTTGTGAGCTGGATACTTCAATACCAGGGCAAAAAGCCAAAAAGATTCAGAGAAAGCCTACACGGAGGCAAACAACAAAATTAAAGCAAAAAACACCAAGTGGTTCTTACTTGATTGCCCAATTGCCAATTATTTATATCTCCTCACTATTCTTGATTGTCCATTACCAATTATTTTAGTTTTTACGTGAAAATTTTATGTTAAATTAGGAATATTTTTGTAAAATTATTCCCTTTACTTGAACTAGTAGCTTATTCAATTTAACAGAGAGTTTTTGCAAAAAAAAAAAAAACCAAAATGATTGACGCTAAACAATCTCAAAATCCATTTTTTCCGATTTAAATATCAGTGATCAAAGTGATGAATTATGACAATCTCAGAGATCATTTTGATTAAAAAAAAACCAAGAAAATATTCTATGATTTTGTGATAATTATTATTAGGAAATGTTACGGTAATTTTTTAATTATATTTGTAAGTCAAATGCTGTGGATTTGGATCCTAGGGATCAATGCAGGTGAACCGTTGATCAAAAATCGTGTGGCCACAATTAAATGTTTTTTATATTTTTAAAAGTAAAGTGGCCTCGTTTTGCCTGAAAAATATAAAAAGGGAAAAATTGTGACCGCACAATTTTTTATCAATGATCCACGTGCATTGGTCTCTAGGATCCCCAAGGAGGGGATCCGGTGAGGATCCAAATCCAAATGCTGTGACGTTTACGATTGAACTACTTTTTTTTAATAAGTTAAAAAATAATTTCAACTATCATCCGCTATATTATACAGTCTACTAAATATAGTTTAGGAAAATAATTTCACTAGCATCATTTTTTTTTAAATTATTTTTCTGATCTTAGATTGGCACCTGGTAGCTTTATTTTGGAAAGAGATCCTCTTCCTTCCATTCCACCAAATCCATCCAATCACTTAATCCGGGTCCTTGAAATTTGATCGAACAACTAAAGTTATTATAACTTTTAAAGGGGTCTCTTATTTGTAGCCGTTGGATCAAATTTCAAGAACCGGAATTGATTGATTGGGTGGATTTGGTGGAAGTATTTTGGCCAATAGTCTTTTTCTTTTAGATGTTAATTATCATATTCTCAGTTCTCACTATTTATTTTTTATAATAAAAATAAAAAGAAAGTTAAAATTAAATTCGTTTTCCATTCTGAATTTGTGCTCCACTAGTTGAAAATCATGGAATAAGCATCAAACTGAATTACGGAGTTCAAATTCCTTGAAGTCCCTCCAGGTCCAGAATGAATGGATAACGTGGCTTGCCACGAGATTAGTTGTCCACCTTTTTAAGGGGGGAAAAAATCTACGTAAGTTGAAGTCCTCTTGACTTTGGTATAAAGTGCAAATTTTTAGATGGTGAATCTCATTCACGTTTAAGAGACTTTATATATGATTATAAAGTTTAACGGTGAAACTTTTAACTTTTTAATGATATCAGAAAGTTAATCTACGTGTTAAGCTCTACGGCTCTTGTGTGCATACATACATCACCCAATATGTGTTGTACTCGTGTGTTACGTTTAAATGACGACATAAATGAGGCGTTCATCTGACTTTTTGCATGGTGTGAGCAATGACTTTAGCCTTGTATTTATATAGACTTAGCCCTAGTGAATCTTTCTATTATGAGATAATTAGAGTGTACGTCAGCCATGAATATTGATTCACCAAATCTCTTACCTACAAGGAAAGTATTAGGAGCCTTTGTATGAATATTGATTCACCAAATCTCTTACCTACAAGGAAAGTATTAGGAGCCTTTGTTCCCTAAGCAGCCAAATATTAGTTTTACTTAGGGTCCAAGCAATAGCAATTAACTGAACTCTAACCTTACTTACACTCTAAGCAATTCTTAAATTAGCCGTGAAGACCTATTAGACGTTGGTCTTTCAAGTTCATTGGTGTTAAAACTTCGGTGAACAGAGGCAAGAGAACTGTCAGATTCTAAATTTATAAGTCTAAAACTTATAAGTATAACTAGTAGCAAGCAACCTTTGCATTTGAAACTTTTCACTTCTTCAAGTAACACGTGTGGGCTTAGCCTCACAATGAGCCAACAATAATGTGGTTCAAATTCGCTTTTGGTGTTGGTGATAATCAAACCTAAGACCTCTCACTTACAAGTGAAGAGAAATATCACTAAACCGTAGTATTAAATGACAACTCCGCCCAGATACAAAACAAGGATAGATCATAAATTTCATCCTATTCTGGCGAAGAAAAGTATAGAATCTTTTAACTCCGTGCAAATATACAACTTCTACAATAGTTGAATGTCCATAATTAACAAACTATAAATGATATACATTGATCCATTATCAAATAACTGTTTGATCTAACGATATTCAGTCTCAACTTTTATTGTATTGAATCACTTAACTCGCATTTTACATGTTACTAAGTTTTTATAAAATAATTTTATTATCGTTAATTTGTAATATTTTTATTTATTTTATAGAGCGATATGTTTACACTAAGAAATATATATCAATTCTCGTACTGAGTTATTTGAAACCAAAAACAAAACCAATCACAGCCACTTTATTATGCTATTCTTTAAAATTCCAATCAACAACAAAACAAAACAAAAAATATAGCTTAATTACAAATCCATCACTGACCATAATTTATCTCCAAAATCGAAGATAAAATCATACATCCATCGTAGTATTAAGCAGGCCCAAAATACTCCAAAACACTAAGTTTAAAACATGGAAAGCAGAAGGGGGACAGATAATGCAGCAATCCCAAACAATGAAGTGACAGAACGCAGGGAAGAAGAAGAAGAAGAAGCTGCTGCAGAAGACGACGGCGACGACGGCGACGACGGCGACGACGGCGACGACGGCGACGACGGCGACGACGGTGAAGAAGGTGTGTTTCCGGCGACAGTAGTGATCTTCATCTTCATGCCTTGGCCGCAGTGGCCTAAAGTGCCACAAGCAAAATATCGTGTGCCGGCCTTGGTCAGTTTCACCACATCATTGCCGCTAGACTTGGAGTCTAGGGCACTGCCGGTGTTGCAGCTCTTGTAGGCGCTCTCGTTTGGTAGCTCCACCACACTATGCAGCCCCGAGGTGTACTTAAAAACTGCCAAGAAAGATCAATTATATTGGTTATCATAATATAACACCAAGCACAACGTAATTAGAATTTTATGTTGGAAGGATGAAATAAGCATTTTCTAACAACCAAAAAAAGCGTGTTTGTATGCTTAGTAGAAAAGTGCTTTTGGGTAATATAAGTGTTATTTGGAGAAACACTTTTGATAGCTTTTTATGAGTAAAAGTATTTATAATAAACCAGTTTTAGAAGGAGAGGTACTATTGCAAACATGTAAATTTTTTGTGCATCCCATTCGTCGTTTTGTTAAAGAACGGATTCTGTATCAATAACACGTCGATACATTTTGTTATTGACAATATTATCAATCTACTAATGGTATCGATGATATGACCATACTTTATTGAGAAGTCATTATTTACCAAAAAACGGATGTCTTGTCTAGAGACGAAGTGACAAGTAAAGTAACTTACCAAGTTGATCCCCAACCTTAAATTTCTCGCCGGACGCCCATGAGTTCAAGTCTGTGGATTCCTCCCAGCCTTGGCTTCCCCCAACAACATGTTGTGCCGCCAAGGTTTCCTTTGTGAACAAAGCTGCAAAAACCAACACCAACAAAACTGTGTTCGTACGCCCCATTCTCTTCTAATTCTTTCTAGTCTAAATTTGCTCTTAGCTCCTTTTCACGGTCTGAGCTTTCCAATGCCTATACAACTATATATATATGCTGTAGAAATATTTATTTGGTAATGTTTGATGAGTTTCACAAGATGAACATTTGATCAAGGGCAGACCAATTTACCAAATTGCCCCAAGAAGCATGAGGTAGTATACTGCAAGTCTGCAACCTAGACAAGGCTTTTGTGTAATTCTGCAGAGAAAACAGGCTGAGTTTGTGAAGTGAGATTAGGTTAAGAATTCAGAGAGTTTGGTAAACTAATTGGTTTGTCCGCAAAGGAAGGAAGCTTGGAGTTTAAACAAAGATATGTTGGTCATCATATTCACTAGAAGGCTGATCGTGAGAGCTAAAAGTTTTACACGCAAATGTCAGAAACTGACAGCTACAAAATGAAGAAAGCACTTTTGTTAGAAATACCTGGAAATTTTTATTAGAAACTCAGTTGTTTCTTGAGAAAGCATTTGGAAGTGCTTCAAGAAAAGCACATGACGTAATTTCTCTATAAAACGTTTCTATGACACCAAAAGCTTCTATCGTAAAACAATTTTAGCCTTTCTAGAAGCAAAATCGGGCAAATATTCAAAATCACTTTAGACGAACCAAAACTCATGTACTCGACTGTTATTGCACATAATTATTACTGTAACTATTGTTGCCTTTGGCATTAACAATCGATTGGCAAGGATTTGCTTTTTAGTTTGATTGTAGAAGTATTTCCTACTAATATTAACAGTTGTTGACGGAATTCCGCTAAATATGCATTAAAATTATTCAAAATTTCTGGGTACATTTTACTTGAGCTCATGACCCATGTCCATTAGTTAACCTTTGGGCCTGAGTCTTAGTAACATCAGTGTTGCTGCTTGAAAAATGCAGTCACTTGATTATACACAATGTCCTTAGCATTCAACCCCATGATGAAATCTGCATGTGCATAATTCTCTATGTACTGAACAGTGAGCTTGCCCACATCGTGAAGTTTTAGACTATCCAGTAAGCGTGCCACATCGCGAAAATCGGAGAGCGCGTCTTGGCCGCCATAGCTGAGGAACAGAGGAAGGTCATGGGGAATGTTGGAGAGGTTGTAAACTGGAGGGTTAAATCTGCCATAATGCATCAAGTTTAAGTCTGGTCTGCCGTAGTTGTATTTTGCCAACTTCCCATCTCGTACAACTGCAAGTTAATTTATGTCACAATGGATAACTACTTAAATTGTCTTATTGTCAATTGAATACAATGTTTCATCATGTGACTAATTAATACGTAGTTGTATACAACTTCTAACTGTTCGAGAATCTCTCTTTTATGTTTGGTAAAAGAACTTACTTTGAGCCAAGTGCACCATGTTCTTGGTGGATGTTGACTGAGGCTCATTCTCCAAGAAGAGATCAATGGTGGAAGAATTGAGACAGCAGTTTTTGCCTTAAATCAGATAAATTTAGGAAGGTGATTAGCATAATTGTGATATAATTATGATAGATGCACGATAATAATTAGAGATAATAAGAACTGACTAATTATACCAGTAACAGCTTGTAATAAGTCATAGCAGTAAACCCCTGGATAAGCACATAGAGCTTGCAGAAATTGAGCCGCTGGGTCCCTGCAATTAGGACAAACCTCAAATTATACCAAGTCGATAGTACCCAAACACCGTCGCGTAATATAATCAGTTAACAAGTATAATATAAATGAACAGCGATCATACACTTTACGTAGTATCATAAATACTTCCGTAATGCAACACACAAACGGGTGGTTAATTTGTCTTTCTTACCCTTTCGGGTTGAACTCCGCAAGTCCGAAAAGCGTAGTGATCTGTTGAGGAAATCAAGCATTTCAGTAAAATTAGTGACATGTATTAAGACATAAACATTGTATTACAAATTAGTATGGGGAATCATTGACACAATTATTGACAACTGAAGTACCTCACCAACAAAGGCTTTGGCAGCAGCCACACCAAGTGCAGTGTTCATGTGGCTCAAATAAGCAATGGGGCTTAGCAAGGCTGCTGATTTCATCTGGTCCACCAGTTTCCCTTCTGATAACGATGCCAATACAAATAAAGTTCCCTGCCAAATAAATCAACACATGTTTTTCTTCTCAAAAAAATGTTAAAAAATAAGCAGGGCTGCAGGAGCGTTATAATTTAGTTTCTAGTCCCTTTTAATTATAATGTCACAACACAATGTCCAATTCGTTACTGCTCTCTTGTTCTGATGCTTAAGGAGGATGCATGCGTGTTCTGGTTGCAAATAAGGAATAGGGTCTTGTTATTTTTTCTCAACAAAGGTTTTTAATTACTGTACTAGGAACGGAGGTCTCTAAGGGTTTGATACAATGGTAGGGTGATGATTCCCCTGGCAAGCTTTCGATGGGCAATAGTTTTTCCCTTAGCTTTTGTGTATTGCCTGTATGATTATCATTCCACGAGTTTCTATTGTTGCAAATTCATAATTTCTCTACTCCCAAGGTATTATGTGAATTAGTCAAGCCATCCTATATCAAATTTTTGTTTCTTGTAAAATGCAATTTTTTTTGCAATTATGTTTGTTAGACCAAAGAGGTCGCACTTGGTGCGATGACAAGTGTCTTCGCCCATAAGCGGTAGGTCTCGGGTTCGAGACTTGGGAGCAGCCTCTCCATAAATGAGGGTAAGGCTAGCCGACATTCACCTCTCCCAGACCCTGCGTAAAGCGGAAGCCTTATGCACTGGGTACGACCTTTACGACCTTTTATGTTTTTCTTCTCAAAAAAATGTTAAAAAATAAGCAGGGCTGCAAGAGCGTGCACTGGTAGAAAATGTGTATGCGAAAATCAATTCAAATCTATTGGGATGCCATCGTGACAAACATACTAATCAACTACGCATTATCATGAGTTTTAACCTACATATCTGACAATGAATGGTTAACTTAAAATACTATTTACTTGGTTGAAAGTGTTTTTAAATGGTTGGAAGCATTTTTGGTGCAAATATTTTTAGAACGAATCTTTAGTAAAAATGAATGTGAATCCTGAAAAAAACACTTCAAGTAATTTTTGAATCCAAAATCACTTTCTCTTAAAAACATTTTTAGTCACTTGAAAAGCACTTCTAAATAAGCCGGCAATCTCCATAAAAGTTTTTATATTTCTCAAAAGTGCATTTACAGAACAAATATATTGATTCTCACCAGGGAATGGCCAACATAATTGATCTTCTGTCCAGCCTTGCCATACACGAAATCAAACACTGCTGGTAGATCAAAAGCCACCAGTTCATCCCAAGACCAATTCCAAAATTTCTGCCATTGTCACAAATCATAACTCATTAAGCTAATTGCTATAAAAATAAAATAAAAATAAATAAAAAAACAGATATTTAATCCTGAATTAAAAAAGAAAGTGCATATAAGATCGGACCGGATCGCGGGGATCCATGGAAGTATGTCGCCTGCTGAACCTGGTCCCTCTGGTGTTGGCAATCCACACATCAAATCCGTTGTCTGCCAGAATCAATGGCAGATTTCTGTCCGGAGAATTCAAGAGCCAGGTGACTCCATCCTGCATTAACATACACAATATAGAAACCCACCAATATAGATATATTTGATAAAGACGATATTCTATTGTAAACTATCCTAGCTTTCAGGCTGAAAGATTCAAACTCGAATGTCCTAAAACTTCAAATAGACGACTCTTAATCATGTTGAAATTGATAAGTTTCCCCAACTTGCATCTTCTCACCTACTTAGCAAAATATTGACGTTTTATTGCAAAAAAATCTTAATACAATACAACAAGTAGTGCACTTATTAGTTAAAACCTAACTTACTTCTGCAACGTTACACCCCAACTTCAACAGAGTCAATATTGAGAGAAACAAATGTAGGAATCTTGAATTATGCACCGTTGGATTTATGCGTGAGGCGGTGCATGATTTTTTGGACAGCTTCTGTTCTGATGGTCCTTTTTGCCTCCTCATAAGAATCCAATCAGATTCAGAGCCACTTCTTGAAACTTTAAATTTGGTTTTTTGTAATATGACGATGAGTTACCGCCAAACATTTGAATCTTGTTTACGTGGCATGTCCTCTTGTAACATACGTGGAAGTTTCATGTTTTAAACGACTTTATCTATGAAAATGGTCATCGGCGTTTTAAATTTCTCATTCTACACTCCAAATTTTTTATATTTAGAATAAAAAATACATTTGTAAGGAGTGTAGAATGAAATTTTTGGAATGACAACAACACTTCTCTTATCTATTTATAATATTTGACAAAAAATTTTTTTATCAAAAATGTGTGAAAATTACCAACAAAAATTTATAATTATCTGACGTAACTCACGTCTACGTACATAACAATATAACATAACGCGTTAATCACTCTTACATTGTACCTTAATTGCCCTTTTTGACTTTTGCCCGTAACGATCGGTCTAAAGCAACTTTCGGTACATTTCTCATAATTTGAAATTGTGGTGGTGGAACGAAAAGGCAAACTTTAATCAACATATGCCATAATGATTCTTCATCAAAGACGCAGAGCATAGTTAAACGTAAACAGGAGCAAAATTTTGCGTCCTAATTGCGAGATGCGAGAGATCGTACCTTAATCATACATAAGAATTCCCGTAAACTGGAGAAAATCATGTGTAATTAACGAGGATGTATGGAGAAAACTTACCACAAGGACACCATGCTGGATTAAGACCGGTGGCTTCTTAATCCCGCCGCCGCTGCCGCCACTGCTGCCTTTGCCGCGACCTTCCGGAATCCTTTGCACACTCAATACATAACCATCTTGGGTTGTCACCTGAACAAAAATGCAGCCACCATTAATTAACTAAAGTTAAGCCACTAAACTATATATTATCTGCAATATTGGCTTAATTAATTAGTTCAAGTCTTACATCAAACTCCTGGCATGGGTAGCCGTACACAACCACCGACGACGCGCATATACCAACTGTCGGGGCGGCCGCAGCACCGTGTTTGCGGTCGAATAATGAACCCCAAGTGGAGCCGTGCGCTCGATGAGGTGAAAGTGCTGCAAGCGATACTAGGAGGCAGAAGCTCGCCCAGACTGCTGCCATAACAAAATGAGAGTCTAATTCTAATAAAATCGCTTTCGTTTCACCTCAAAAATGTTAAAAGGAAAGTTGCCTGCTTTCAGGGCATTATATAGCTGAAGAAAAAGGGAAGCAGAACAGAGTGGGAAAAGGAGTTGTACCTTTTTCTGTTGGAACTTTTACCGTTTATTTTAACGAAAAATTATAATTTTACATTAAAAAGTTAATTTTGGTACAATTCACTCTACCTTTATTTTGTCAATATCGTTAAAATTCAAAGTTTTCAAACAATTTTCATTAGTTTTATTTTTTATTTTTTCCTAATTTCTAGCTTGACTGACTACTAGTGAGATATGATGTTGGCTTGAAGCAGGAAAAAATTTCAATGTGCCAGAAGCATACGACTGGTACATTAATATTATAATATAATTAATTAATTTTCTTTTAAAAAAATTTCCAACTGACTTTGTTATTACATTTAATTTATAGCAAACTTCATTTTAATCCTTAAAAAATATGAGTTTTAGATTATAACCATATGTAAGATTAAAATCCAATTTTAGTCCCTAGCACATTTAATCATATCATTTATTAGTTGTATTTTGATGTTTTATTTTATCCTTTTATTTTTATTTTAATGTATTAATTACATTTAAATTTAATTTTTATTTCATTCATCATAATATATTTTAATGTCTACATTTAGGCAACTAATTTTTTTATAATATATATTCCGATAACAATTTTGTATGTTCTTTATTTAGGTACATTAATACATTTGAATATTTTGGTATATCCATCGGTACAAATATGTAGTTACATTGATTCAATATAATGCATTTCGGTCAATATAATGTATTACGTTACGTACACTTTGGTACACACATTTGAGTATTGACTTTTAGGTACATTAATTCAATTATTATATTTCGGTAAATACATTTAGGTACATACATTTTGGTATTGATATTTAGGTACATACATTTTTGGTATTGACATTTAGGTAAATACATTTCGGTATTGACATTTAGGTACATTAATTCAATATAATACAGTTCAGTACATACATTTAGGTTCATTATAATATATTTCGGTACAATCATGTAGGTACAAATATTTCGGTACAAAAAACTCACTTTTAAATATTTTGGCACAATCATTTCTGAACACTTATGTATTTATATATTTTTGTATCACAAATTTTTTTAAATATTTTCTCATTTACATTCATTTCTAATTAAAAAAAACTAAATATGTGCATATTAATAAAATTAAAATTTAATATGGAGAGATTAAATAAAAATACACATTAAATAACAAAAATTGAATGTAAATTTTGATAAAAGTACACTCAAGGGATTAAATTGAATATTTAATCTAGCACCAGGTTTTTTTTTAATTTTAATCTTTTGCAAGGATTAATGTTCGAAAATCCCTTTAATTTATCGGTTCGTGTTTACGTTCTTTTCAATGATGTGGCATTGTAGGTCCCCTCTGGACTTTCCATTTCTTACCATCAAGAAACTGTTCATGTAAAATGCACAAGACATGAAATTGGAGGCGGATTCTCTGCCCTTCCACTTCCTGTACCCTCTTATTTTGTGTGGTCACGGTTAAATCACGTCAATATTTTATATTATTTTTTATAGAGATAATAAGACAAAAATAAATAGTAATATAAAACGTTGACGTGACTTAACCGTGACCACACAAACAGGAGGGCACGAGAAGTGGGAGGGTAGAGAATCTGCATCCCATGAAATTGGCCATACCTGCAAGTAAATAAAGAATTTTAGCTGGAATATTGGAAAAGGGATCATCTCTGGATCCCTTCTACCAAATCCTATCAATCAATAAATTTGGGCTCTTGAAATTTGATCCAACAATTAAAATTATTATAACTTTTAAAGAGGTCTTTGTTTTTAACCGTTTGATCAAATTTTAAGGGCGTTGATTTGTTGATGTGTAGAATTTGGTAAAAGGGATCCGAAGAGAATTATTGCAGTTGCTATTTCAAGGACAAAGACCTCTGAACTAGAGATTAGGATGGAGGATTTTATCAGATTTGGATCCTCTCTTGCCTCCTGAGCAAAGCACATAAGCTGTTGGATTTTGATCCAACGACTATAGTTATTATAATTTTTAGAGGAGCTTTCTGTTTGTAACCGTTAAATTAAAATCCAACGGTTCACATGTTTTGCTCAGAAGGCTTAGCCTCCAGAGCTCATGAGAGGATCCAAATCCGATTTTATCTTTGGGAAACACAATAATGTGGGCTCCACTACACGATTACGTGAGTACCTAATTGGAGGACCCATCCAAAACTGCAAATATTAAGACCAAGGAAAATATTCAGTGTCAAGCTTCGTTACGTGACATTTGTATGGCAGTTCTCACAATTTTTTTAAGCGCGGAGATAATGTAGGGCTAAGTAAAATTGACATACAAATGATATGGTTAAGCTACTCTATTAAAGATTTTCTCTAACACAAATAGATGAAACAACGTAACACTGAATAAAGTTGCATTCATAATTTCATAATAGATCTGTTGATCATGTTAGCGAAATCTAATAACTACATGTATCTTTTTTGGTCTTTTGACTATGATCAAGTGAAGTTTAATAACTACATCATATCTCTCAAAAGTATAGGACAAACATAAAGCTAGATGGAGCCTAATGTGAATGGTCTCATTTGATTGTGAGAGTTGCCATACCACTTATGTGGTTAGGCTATCCTCCTAAAATTTTCCCGAGACGAAATCGACACTGCATGCAAGTTCGGAAGATTAATTTGTCTGTAATCTCAAGGTGGTTCAATCAAATCGTGCGTCAAGAAACATGATAAGTACAAAGTATTGGCTATATTTGTACGTTTGGGTTGGCGTTCTGCAACTGAAACCAAAGTTCTCGTCGTGGAATTCATGTGAATGCATGTGGCTTAGGCAACTTTATAATTCAATCAACTGCAGTATCCAAGAACAAGTACATTTCACATTGGAGTCGAACAACTTAGCTTAATTAGGATATTATAAGTCATAGAAATGGAAGATTCGCAGAAGCACCAATCTGTTTGTGGTTGTCTAGGCTGTGTAACATTTTATATGTTTTCAGCACACCCGTAGGATAAGGCTCGGTCAGGCAATTTGTTGCACAATTTGTTAATTGGACACAAAATGACATGCATATAAAAGATTTCGAGTTAACCTGTTAATGAGCTGAGTCGTTATCGGGTTACCGTTAAGAACCCAAAAAGATATCGTTTGCCAGATCTAGACATTACGCATGCCAATTTATTGCATAACCCATTAATCAAATGTGAAACGCAACGAATCATTAACAAATTGAGTCGTTATCGGGTCACCTGTTAAAAACCCGTTAAGATAACGGATTTGACACGACATGACCCATTAAAATAATCGAGTATGATACGAAAACGACAAACATGACCCGTTTCTTAGGCGTTGTTGCCTATACATTCTCTATACTATATCTTATTAGCATGGACAAGGGCGGAGCCAAGTACAAGGCTCCCCTAGGCTATAGCATAGGGAGAGTTTGGTTCTTCAAGCTTAAAAATATTAATTTTTGGATTAGTTTGTGATTTTTAATTGTCATATTCCACTTAACAGATGAATTTTTTTATTAGTAAGGCTGTTTTTAAGAATAATAAGAGCTAATAGATGTTAAATAAACTCATCACTTTAACTAATATTATACTTAATAGTAATAAATTAAAACCTCTATACCACAAATGGTTCCTTATTTTATTCACTTGAAAGTTTTGAAGGCTAAAAACCTAGAAAACATAGCACAAAATTATTGCTTCAAATTACTACATTCAAGTTTTTACTATTAATAACTTTATGTAGGCAACATAGGATTAAAAATTTGATTTCGTAGTAACAATTTTAACTTAGCCCACCTGCCGAATAATTCCTGGCTACACCATTGAGCATGGACTTCTCTTGAAAGATTTTTTTTTTTTTTTTTTTTTTCAAATCCATGATAATTGTCTGATATTGCATCACAATAATGGTGATCAAATATTATCATGTTCAACTCACAATTATATCTCATGTGAACTCACTTCTACTGTCGGGGATATAGTAGTTGCTAAAGAATAAAAATCTCACATCAAGAAATTAATACAAATTTTGATATGAGTAGCCGCCTCATTGATTTCACATTTTTATAAGTGAGTTGTCGCATGAGTCAGCCTTACTCGAATCCTCTTCTTAATTAAAAAAAAAGTAATTTACATAGCACGGCAGCACACCGTAACATTCAAGTCCTAATAACAACATACTTGTGTGACGTGTCATGTCCACCCCCAATGAGCCCATGCTTCATTGCCTCAACAAAACTCCAACAACCATACAAACTTATCATCTGAAAAAAGACTTGAATTATTGCTCCACCTCGTGCCTTCCATTGCTAAGTTTTGGCTTTTTTTGGCGCACAGTTCCTCCCTTCACATTGACAAGATTAGTGAATAAAAATCAAAGCCAGAAATTAGCCAGAAATTGAGCCACTTTCTATTGGAGGTGGATGGTCTGCACTCCCATTTCCATACTCTTTTCATCCCTTCCTGTTTGTATGGTCACGATTAAACCACGTCAACATTTTATATTCCTATTACTTTTTGTTTTATTATTTCTATAAAAAATTAATATAAAATGTTAACGTGGCTTAACTGTGACCACACATCACAGGAGGGCATGATGAGAGTATGGAAATAGGAGGACAGACAATCCACCTCCCTTTCTATTTGTTAGAGCGGCAAAAAAAAAAATTATCTTGAGGACTCCTACCAAGGAATCAGTTTATAACTTTTTCACAATGGCTTGAAAAAGGACTCCTTCCCATCTCCTCTACTAAGAGAAAAACTTGTCTATCACGCGTTCATGTAATTCTACTCTCGATCTCGATCATCCAGTGATATTTACGAGAGAAAAAGGCTTACAGAAAATATAGCCGTTTTGTTTTGTGTAAGTTTTTCTCGTTCATTGCATCTAAAAAGCCCTGTCTATCAAAATCACGAATTCATGTAATCATTTTCTCGATCTTCCTCCCCACTTGACA